CTACAGTCAGCAATATTAATGAACACAGAAAAGCCTTCCATCTAAGCTAACAATGGCAGCTTCTTATCGTAAAAAAAATCTTTTCATTAAAGCTTTTATAAAATTATTTATGAAGCAGTCACACGGGATTTAAAACACACATCAGACCGATGTGCCACGACTCTGACTGTCTTGAGTAAAAAACCCAGCGTGTTCCTGTTTGTTGGCTTTATAATGGCTCCGTACAAAGACATGAAGTACTGCATAGGCTAGGATGAACGCATACAACTGTGTCAAATAGTAAAGGAGCCAAAGAAAGAAAATATTAAAATACTGCTTCTTCTGGCATCCTTGGAGAATCTGTGGTGGCAACAAGGCTTGTTGTTTCCCATTTGAAGAAATATTACATATATGGGGGACAGGTGTCTAAATATTTACACTGTGAAGATCTTGTTCTCTTGCACTAACCTGAATGATAAGATTTTAAGGTTGAAATAAGAGTTCTTCCAGACACTCACCCTACCCGGCAGCAAGGGCTGCATCAAGCCCATCTGTGCTTGCTTATTCGGGAAGCATGTATGTAGGAGATGCAATCCAAGGGGATTCCTCTATACCTGCAACCCTCCAGGAGTCTTTGGCCTCCAGCTGAGGTAGTGACAGGATTGCAGGACCCTCTGCCCTGTAGTCATGAGCAGTGACCACAGTGAACAAGGTGCTGGATCCATCCAGCGATGGCACAAGCACCTCTGGTTCCAGCTAGTCGATTGATACAGTTCATTAAAAACCAGCAGGTCGACTTGTCTGGAATAACTATTGGGTAATTTCACTTATTGTCCATATGTGAAGCTGGTCAATTGTGCTGTGGCTGAATTTTGAAATATTTGGTGTTTTGTAAATGAGGCATGTGATGAAATTTCTTTTCCCGCTTTGAACAACAACTAAATAACACAATTCATAGCAATTAAATTATCAATTTCAATGGTTTAATTTTAATTTCATAAACCATAATGGGTATTAAAAGGAATTAAAATCTTTGAGAATCCTATTTTCACGCTTAGACTAGGGCTTACAAAAAATGAAAGAGAAGCCTAAGCATATACTTGATGAAAATGGATAAGCAAAGGAAAAAGGGTGTAACATGAAAATGTTCCTATTTATGAACATCATTAAAAAATTAATTTCAAACATGCCACTTCAGATGTGCTTTGTCTAGTCTAGACCATCATTTGGCTTGTTAACTGACCAGTGCCCACATTATGAAGGTAAGTTGACACTGTTATCTGAATTTCAGTTTTTCTTCAGCTTCTCTTGTATAAGAGAACTACGTGGACCCAATTTGAAGAACTGTTTCGCATGCTGCACTGAGAAGTTTATAGCCCAAAAGACTACCAACTATTCAAAATGAATGTAAGTTAAGTTAATGGCGGCAAAAGCAAACATGTAACCAGTGACAGTACTACTGTTTTAATTCTTTTTCAGGCTCATTGATGTCTATTAGGTGCATACAAACTTTATAGCTCAATCCTTTTTCAGTTACTTTTGCACAAATTTTTAAGGTTAGAAACAGATTAATCTGTATTCATAGCCTATGTGCTTTAAAACCAGTTGGACTTTGTTCAAACATTCAAAAATTATCTTTGAGCTGGGACTAACCATGGAAGACTTAATTCCTCAAGGAAATTGTTCTGGGAAAGTTATAAGCAGACAGAACAGGAATTTATAATGGAAGTTGGCTTGCAACCGCGGCCTCTCATCTTAAAAATGTTTGCACATGTGAGTATCTCGTTAAAGACACATATAAGGCCTCATTGTTGCATCAAGATGCAGACAGATTGTGGGCACCTTTGTGAAGCTTTCCTGAAATCTGTGAGGGTTACATGAAGGCTCCTTCCTGCAGGCAGCTCACGTTCAGGTAGTATGGTTTTCAAGCTGTTCCATCTGATTATCAGTTTTAGATAAATAATATCATCTTGCTCTCAGGAAAGGCAGAATCTTATTTAATTACGTGTCAATCGCTCCATAGTGTTTGGCACTGTCTGTATACAGGCAGTGTCCTAGAGCCACAGAAGGAGCAAGGGTTGCATGTCTACCTTTCAGGTACCTGTAGACCTGAGCTGAATGTCTGCATTCCAGATGTAAAAGGAACTAGGCTGCAAAAGGCAAGGTTTTCTCAAAGCCACCCCTGTCCCCACACCGAGTAAGAGCTAGATAAGCTAGAGGCAAGGCGGAAGGATGAAATGCACGAACAGGCTGAAAAAACTCCTGCTGCATGTGTGACCTTGAATCCTCACCCTTTTCACAAAATGGAGCTAGAAAACCAGATTTTTTAGTGCCTCAGTGATTAAACGCCATGCACTGAACATGGGAGACTCAAATCTCCTCTCTGCCTTAAGGAACTAGCATTTACATCTCCCACAAGAACTCTCTAATGACTCAGCTCTATGATATAACACCTCGGACTCTCACAACTTCTCTCCCATTAAAGTTCTACTGCTCTCCATGATGTGCTTAAATATTCACTGCAGTAAACACCAAGCCCTGTTTTTTATCCCCATGCCCTGTTGACCAGCCTAACCAGCGGGCTTCACAGTCAGGTTACAGAATTAGCCTTAGACAGTCAAGTCCTGTGAATGTTTTGTTATTCCACGCAAATCGGACCGGTTTCAAAGCAGTGATTTGAGATACCTCCTCCAGCTTGTGGATGCCTCTGGAGATGAGGATGTGCTGCCAAGAGGCAGGAAACACAAGCAGCTGTCTGGGCACTAGTGCACACCCTACCACCATGCTGGGAGAGGGTGCGAACCTGTCCTCCTCTCTGCAGGAAAGCGGGATGCCCAATTTATCGTGCTCTGAAAGCACTCCTGGAGAGGGTCCTGCTGATGGGAGAGGTGGAGCGATGCCAATGGTTGTGAATCTGTTGGGCTTCCGTGGCCATGAAATACCTGCCTACCCGCTGGGCAGCTCTGTCCATGCCAACGTGAAGGAAAAATCTGGCGAACGCACACTTCAGAGATCAGGCGGTCGTGGCTCCATGATGAGGAGAAACTCAAGTTTGGGATGGGGGAGAGCTGGAGTAGCCCCACCATAACAGGCCTGCCCATCCCTGAGAGGGCCACGTGGTCTTTCTTCCCCAGCGGGATGGCGGCACTGAAAGAATGAGGGAAGATGGGTGGATTTCACCTCAATTCCATTTAGTAACTTAAAAACACCTTTGAAAGGCATCATTTTTGGAGGAGCGCTTCGGTGCGTTTCCTCTCCAGCTCTCACCAGAAGCTCCTCCACACACACACATGCGTGTCGCCTGGGAATGCAGATGAACAATTTCACCTGACCCAGCGCGGGGGGAAAGGAATGGTCAGGAATAGTCGGGACCGAGGGAGGGGAGGAAGGAGAAGGTGATGAATAACTTGAATAAATCTGCAACGGAGCTGAGGAGAGGGGGAGGGAGGCGGCGGGTCATGTGAGGCACAGTCATGCTGCGGGCCCGGGGAAGAGCCAGCGAGGGGCACCTGGGGGTGGGCGAGGCGGCTGGGGGGCTGCGTGCTT